ATCCAGGAATATTATCCATAATAATATATATATATATATATGTGTGTAGTGGTGTTGAGAAAAATCACAAAACTACAGATTCATCCCGACAAGCCTGTTTCGTGATTGCTCACTCTTCAGGGAATCCCCTTGTAGTTTTGTAATATTCAACCGTAACACCATCAAACTCAGCTACAGCTGCATGAACAATATCGAACAAATAATCAACAACCATAACTAACATATACTGAGAACATCAGACATAACTAACGACAACACCGCGAACAAAAAGACACTTACAAAAACATGCAACTGCCGACAAAAACAAAACTGCCCACTTAACGGAAATTGCCTGCAGTCATCCGTTGTTTACCAAGCTACTGTAAAACGCAAAGACAATAACACAACTGAGACGTACATTGGACTTACAGAAAACGAATTTAAGACTAGACATAGAAATCACACTGCCTCTTTCCGCCACAAAAAACTACGAAACTTGACCGAGCTCAGTAAGCACATTTGGACCCTTAAAGACAGCAATATCGACCACGACATCTCATGGAACATCATTACACACAGCAAACCATACAACAGCACCAGTAAAAGATGCAACCTTTGCCTCAAAGAAAAATTCTTCATCCTCTACCAACCATCCAAATCATCCCTCAATAAACGCAACGAACTTGTTTCCTCTTGTCGCCATAGATCCAAAACACTCCTATGTAATTTGTAACCATACACCGTAATTAATACTCTAACTTCCGTCATCTAACTTGAAACTATACACCTTGATCAATACACTAACTTCCGTCATCATCTTGTATATATATTTTAAGCATTTAAGTATTTTATTCATTAATCCCCTGAAGAGTGAGCAATCACGAAACAGGCTTGTCGGGATGAAATTGTAGTTTTTGTGTATTTTCTTCTTCTTATCAATATTTACGCTCTGCTCTTAGGCATCGAGCACTGTTTTATACGGAAAATCATAAATTATAAACTTCCTATACTTTGTATATATATATATATATATATTCAAAGTGAGTTTTATTGAGCTTCTACTCTGTCAAAAAAAAAAAAAAATAAAAAAATAAAAGAAAAGTTAAGATAAGATAATTTCGATTTTTTTATTGAGCTTTCGACTCGTTGCTTCGAGCCTTCATCAGAATGAAAAATATTTATTTAAACGTGCTTTTTAGCTTGGAGACGTTTAGAGCGTCTAATTGGATGAGTGGGTGGATTAATGTGATTGCATGGGGTGAAATGCGTTGCCATGGGTTTTGGTGTATTATGAATATGATGGTGTTAATAATATTAGAGTGTAGTGTTTTACTTTTGGTGTATATATAACAATAAAAATAGTACTGGAATAGATGGCATGTAAGATGAAAACAGTTCGCCGCTTACGCAATATATGCAAATAATAATTGGTGCGAAGTATTTAAAAATCAAGCACGATAAATTTATTTTTGTAGGGCCGCATTTGGCGAAGAACTCTAATCTTTTCAGCAAAATATCAGATAAAAACAGATTTAAGAATTCGCCATTTCACCCCGTAACCTCAATTATTATATTTCAGTTTCCCGGCCTAACAACCGGTCACGCCAGAGATTGTCCATTGAACTGCAATTATTTTGCATCTTGAATGTACTTATCTAACTTCCCTGTTCTCTTCGATGTTAGAGATGAAAACACTGTCAGAACCGCTAGCCCTACTCATATCTAACCCGTAACATACATACAGGTGACACTGGTGAGTATGGACACTGCTGTAGACAGGAAAGAAAATGTTAGCGTTTCGTATTGTAACGGTTATTACAACGCACGATATTTATGAAGATGACGAAGCTGAAGAAGAGAATCATGTGATATTACATATCGTAAAGACAAAGCATCAGATGCAAACTGGCGGCAGAAGATCTATGTTGAGTTCAGAGCACATTTATTACATAGGAGACATCATTGTCCATAACGAAAGCTATAAGCGAAAGCTTATATTCACAAACAACAAAAGAGCAACAGATAACGAAATATATAGACACGAATTGGAAGAAAACAAAGGAAGCTGCAAATAATTACCATGCACAGCACAGCAAATGCGAACCAACTTCAAACGGATCATTCATATGTGTGAAAAAGTTGCTTAACTAGAAAAACAGCCACTGTCAACAAGCGCTTTGTGGAAGAAAAAGGATTCGGAAAGTGGTTTGATGCCTTATTTCCGTTGATGAAAGGCAGAAATTCATGCCAGCCGGAACAATCCATAGAACCATCAGCAGCCCCAAGTGAAAGTTCGCCAAGTACACCTTTTCATGAGTATGATGTTGATGGTAAAGAAGGTGAAGATGTTGATGAAACTCATAATAAACAAAATAAACAAGAGAAACACTTCAAGAACATGTTTATTCCTGTAAGGAAAAGAAAAAAAGAAAGAACAATAATGCAGAGTAAGTCGGTAAAGTATTGAAACTTGTGGAGACATTGACTAAATCTGATGCGAAAAATATTTTGAAATTTATGCGGAAAGATGTTGAGAGGTGAAGCTATAGTGTTTCTAAAGATTTTTTCAAACAAAAATAATAGAGTGCAAATTCAAGGCTTTCCTGCGCAGCTAACATTTCATGCAGGAAGTCCCTCAGCCCAACAAGTTTATTTATATGGAACACCTCAATCGACTAGGAGAGATCAAACTACACCCCGAACCTTCCCTCGTGGTTACGAAGGCAACAGTATGCAAGCTGGGGAAAGAAGATCACAAATGAGCTCATTAACAAAACTTTGACTTGAACTATGAAATGTTCAACTTAATTATGCACAAAGTAATTACTTTGTTATTTGTAATTATATTTTTGTATATATTTAGCTTCCATCAAGTTAGAGTGTATACTGAGGTTTGTTCAATCAATGGCGCTTTCTGTGCTCTTGCTTTTCTGCCAAAAGTTTTCCTTTCAAAACAGACAGAAGTTGGTTCGCATTTGCTGTGCTGTGCATGGTAATTATTTCTACAGAGCTTTCTTTGACCTTCTGACAGCTGATCATGTTAAGCATGCCTCTTACGACATCCAGGTCGTGCCGTTATATTTATGGGTCAGAAAACACGTCAAGCTATTTAGGTAAGGACTCATTATGCTCAATGCAAAGATTATGCAAGACTTTACAAGCTAAAGTTTATAAGTGGTTTTTTCACTGCACTCACACTCTTGGAGTCACACACGAAATCTTCCTTTTACCTGACCGTACACCCATTCAGAACCATCTTTGCTCGTGATAAACGATAATTAAAGTATCTCTCTTGAGGTGTAAGATTAGCATTGGTATAGGGTTTCATGTTTTGGGATATTTATGGAACGGCAGTGTATTCAGTGAGATCTTTCCACAGGTTGGTTGTATGGAGGATAAAGCCAAGCGCACACGAAAGCGATGTGCTTAGCAAAATGTTATTCGTGCCAAGTGGCGTAAGCAAGTTGCTCTCGTGTGCGCGTGCTGTTTCCGACGACTGTTGCCATTCCAGGGAGGACTGGCAAATATCTAACATGTTTGATATTTTTTGCCACGCGTGGCGAAATGCTTTGTCGATTTGTCCGTGTGCGGCGTCTTGAAGCAAATTGCTTTTGTGTTTCCAATACAGCGCTTGCTCAATAAATTTCGTATCAAACCAAAATAGCGGCCCCGACTGAACAAAATGATTCAGTCGAAGAAGCAATTTCAGATGATAAACTTTTGTCTCCGTTTAAATCTGCTGATCGAAGGCCAGAGATCAACTAGTTTATCATCTAAAGTATTGGAAACACAAAAGCAATTTGCTTCAAGACGCCGAACACGGACAAATCGACAAAGCATTTCGCCACGCGTGGCAAAAAACATCAAACATGTTAGATATTTGCCAGTCCTGCCTGGAATGGCCAAAGTCTTCGGAAACAGCACGCGCACACGAGAGCAACTTGCTTACGCCACTTGGCACGAATGACATTTTGCTGAGCACATAGCTTTCGTGTGCGCCGGGCTTAAGAGCATCATAGGTATTTCCAGGAAACCCAGCATATGGCCAAACTAACCTACATTTAGCATCAGCGAGACCCATTAATACAATTAAATGAAAATTTTTAAACTTATGATACCCTTTTGCTGCCTCAGGACCTCCTTCAGGACATTCAAAAGAAATGTAGCAACCACAAATTGTAGGCCAACAGCATGTTGCCACATTCCTTCCATATCAGCGACTTTGGTTTCAGTTGCTGCTCAGTAGCTGGAAAATGAGAGGTAACAGAATCTTTCCTGAACCACTAATGCTTCACAAAGTTCGATTATTATCTTCTGAAATGTAGCAATTCCAAGACAAAACATGGCTGACAGTGAATAATAGTCACAACGTATTAGTCTTAAATGCACATGGCCAAACGACAAAAAAGCGACACTGCTGAGCGTTCAGTTATACGATTTTTTCCAATTTGTTTTCAATTCTTCACAGAATAAAAGCAAAATGATTCTTAGAGAGACGAAAACTGAGTAAATCGCCCAAATAGAGTCCCACCAGTAGGTCCATATTGATGTTCTTTGAAGAGAACGACTGAAACGGATTCGAGAAATCTCAGACTTCTCAAAAAAAATATATTATGTAATAACAGGCACAGCTGAACGACATTTCTCCTTTTAGAAATAATATGTAGCAGTAAACTGAACTTCTTTTATCTCCTCTCTCGTGTAATTTTTAAAATTTGTTGCACAATAATAGCCTTTCTGTGAGCCACCATTTTTTGAAGGAAGGTAAGTTTCTGCGTATACTAACTCAACGAATTGAATTCGACGAAATATCGTCTTATAAACTGAGCTTACCACTTCTGCTAAATTTTCTGAAATTCGAGGTATAAGCTAGGATTAAGAACACTAAGAACACTAGGTACTCTCATAGTTAGTAACAGATTGTCTCGATATCGCTTAGTGCAGGAGAGCTTTTAAAATATTGTGGAATATTTACTAACAATAAAATATTTTCAAATTCTTTATTTCATTGTATGACATACCAGAAGCATTGAGAAGGTCCAACAAGAAAGATCTCTTGTCAACATCATCGACCCAAACGACCTTTTGAGTGATATTTTCGCTTGTTGAACCAACACGTCCAACAGCCAAGAAAATGTAGTTGTCTAAGAAATCACGTGCAAGTACCTTAAAAAAAAGAAGTTAGAACTTGAATCTTGGCGAAATTTTAAGTAGAAAAAAGGCGTGATCCGATATGAGGATTATACATAATGCAGTAAAAAATTTTATATCAGTGAACGTTTTACTGCATTATGAAATTTTAAGTTCTTTAAATACTTCTTAAATGGGTGCGAGAAATATTTTTTGTGGGTAGCTTATACACGCAGACTAACAATACAATCTTGCCGTTTTCGATTTGCAGCAATTAAGTTTTACGAGGTTTGCAGCTAAATTATATAGCTATATTAAAAAACAGCTTTACAAATTTAGTAACTTCACTCGTCAATTATTCCTCAAAATTTACTTTTCACATTAAGGAATTGAAAATATCATTTAACCTGTCCTTAAAAATCAACTTTAGGTGGCCAACCAGCCATTTCAAGAGAAAGGCGTACCTGAATTTCCTTTGGAAATGTAGCACTAAACATGAGGGTTTGCCTTTGGCCTGTTTTTGGCATCGAGTCCTTCTCGACAATTCTACGAATTTGGTGTTCAAATCCCATGTCCAACATGCGATCTGCTTCATCCAAAACCAAGAACCTTTAAGAAAATGGGTTCATGTCATATGAAAAAATTACTAAATAGTTGTCTTTTTCCCAGAGTGAACTTTTTCATCAAAAAGTTTAAGTATAACAGAGATTCTACTTCGTCATTTGACTACGTCACTAAGGAGTCATGTGAGATATGCGCACGCAGATCGAGGAATCAGTTGCCCGCGTACTCTTCGAGCGAACGGTTGTTTTTATCGAATAAAATCTCAACAAAGGAGCGAAAATCATGGCATCAGATGACGAATTGGAAAGACGGCTATTGGAAGAAGAGCCAAGCGGTATGAAAGAAGCGACACCACCAGGGATAGCAATGCCAGAAGTGTTGGCTAGTCTCGTCGACAAAGTAGAGAAAATGTCAAGCAAAATTATCAACATGGACAGTTCCATTAAACGGTTGCAGTCCGACAGTCAGGATCCTTGCTTGAACGAAGGACCAAGCAAAAAACGACGTGTAACTTCACTAATGGAAATAGACAAAGGTTACACTGTCGGTGATGCAGAAGGATTGCATCGAGAAAGTGAACCTGATGCCGACTCGGCAAATGAAGGTAGTATAAGCGCCACATGTGTTCGACGCGAACATGACGCTCTGCTACAAGAAATCTCGCACGACTTGGAGCAAGAAGAGGAGGTTGGCGAAAATATAAACCAGCAACTTGCTGATATTGTCAACAAACGATGGTCAAACAAGCTCCCAGAAGCAAAACAAAAAGAAAAAATGGAAAAGTATTCAAGACCAAGTAATTGTGAAAAATTTATTGTCCCTCGCGTTAACGCTGAGATATGGGACAAGCTTGACAATAAGACCAAGCACAACGACCTTCGCACTGCTAACACGCAGAAAACAATAGCGAAGGTTGGCGCCGTACTGTCTTTCACGACAGACAAATTGCTACAAATACGTAGTAAAGAATCACCAGACGTTGATAAACTGATCACAATGAATACCGATGCCTTGGCACTTCTTGGCCACACAATGTGTGAACTATCAATGCGTCGACGCGACGCTATTAGGCCAAATTTAAGCAAGGATTATAGCAGCCTTTGTGCATCACATGTGCCAGTAACGACTTACTCGTTTGGGGATAACCTTCAAACACAACTAAATGATATTAGGGCATCGAACAAGATCAGCAAGGCAACAGTGCCTCAAAGGTTTGATAAGGTCAGGCAGTATGGCCGCCCTCACTCTCATGGTACCAACAATTCCTCCTCACAGGGAAAACCAAGAAAGAACCATTTTTTATCCAACAATCTGAATTGGAAGAAACACCCACCAAGGTCGACATACCCATCGAAAAAGCCATCAACCTTTCCAGTCAAGCAGCAACAATACCAGTAATGGCCAATAGTGAAAGAAACAAAAATATCATGACAAACTTACAGGTCAGTACTTTAGAGAGAGACTTGCCTTTATTAGTCAGGTATTTACACTCACGAGTGAAACGCTTTCAAGCAGGCCAGTTAAGTCACAAACTTTGTGAATGGCGCAAACTCACCTCTGATTCAGAGGTTTTACATACAGTCTTGGGTGAGGAGATTGAATTTAACGCTTTACCTCACCAACTACATGCACCAAAACCCAATACATTCACAACATTCGAGAATGGTTGTGTTGCACAGGAAATAAAAAAAGCTGTTTGCAAAGGGTGTCATAGTTGAATCGGCTCATGAGGCAAATGAATTTATTTCATCCATTTTCTTAAGACCAAAACCTGATGGGTCTCATAGAATGATATTAAATCTCAAAAGTTTAAATAAGTATGTGGTATATAGGCACTTCAAAATGGACTCCATTTGGAATGCTATTAGTCTAATGAAACCAAACTGCTACATGGCATCAGTTGATCTAAAAGATGCCTATTATTCAGTACGTATCTGTGCTGAACATCAGAAATATTTAAAATTCGATTGGAATGGTAAATTATATAAATTTACTTGCTTCCCTAATGGGTTAGCATTAGCACCAAGAAAATTCACAAAATTGCTTAAGCCTGTGTACTCATCATTACGGAAAAAGGGTCATATATCATCACCTTATATTGATTATTCCATTTTGATAGGTGATAACTTTAATGACTGTGCAGCAAACATTGTTGAGACAGATAAAGTTTTAGACAACTTAAATTTTGTCACTCACCCTGAAAAATCTGTGTTAATACCAACACAAAAAATTGTATTTCTTGGTTTTATTCTAAATTCAATAACTATGACTGTTTCTTTGACACCAGAAAAAGCAAAGAAGGTAAAATTGGCTGTTACCCACCTACACTCTTGCAGGATACCTCAAATAAGAGAGGTTGCCCAGGTTATTGGGTTTATTACCTCTACATTTGCAGGGGCAATGTATGGGCCCTTATATTTTCGGATTACAGAGGGTGAGAAAGCGGAAGCCCTAAAACAATGTAAGGGAAATTATGATACTCACATGCAGTTATCCTCTAGCGCAAAAAAGGAGCTGGAATGGTGGATAAACAATGTAGAAAGATCAAACAATCTGATCTCTAGACCAGAGCCGCATGTAACTATGTCCACAAATGCATCTAAAGTGGGCTGGGGGTGTGCTATAAATAACATTAAAACTGGAGGGCTCTGGACTCAGGAAGAGAGTCAATCTCATATTAACTATTTAGAAATGCTGGCAGTGTATTTTGGTCTCAAGTCACACCAAAATCTATTACGAAAATGCATGTAAAAGTACTAGTTGATAACACTACGGTTCAAAATACCCTAAACAAAATGGGAACAAGTCACTCTCCATTATTGAACAGTCTTATCAAAACTATATGAGACTGGTGCATTGTTAATGAGGTTTGGATCACAGTTGCCCGTATTCCTGGCAAGGAGAATGTCGATGCAGACAGGGAATCTCGGAAGGCCAGGCGCACCACTGAGTGGTGCCTGAATAAACACATATTTCATAGGGCTTGTACGAAACTAAATGTAAAGCCAAACATTGACCTTTTTGCCTCCAGAATTAATTGCCAATTAAAGCCATACATTTCATATACCCCAGACCCGGAAGCAATTGCAGTCAATGCTTTCCATCATTCATGGCTGGGTTATCAATTTTACGCGTTTCCACCTTTATGTTTGATTAGTCAGGTGCTACAAAAGATTCAAAAAGAGAAGTCGGAGGGACTGCTTATTATACCAAAGTGGCCAACCCAATCCTGGTGGCCAGTAGCAATGAATGCTGATGCAGTCACCAATCTTGCTACCACAAACACCATCAACACTAATTCTTCCCAGCAACCCATTGGAGAAACATCCTCTTCACGAGAAATTAGTGCTAGTAGTGTGTCACTTATCAGGAAACAGTTCAAAGACCGAGGACTTTCGACAACAGCTGTGGAAGTCCTGGAATCAGCATGGAGAGCAGGCACACGAAAGCAATATGAAGGGCATTTGGAAAGATGGAGACAATATTGTTATCAACGGCATATCAATCCCTTTTCTCCCACTGTAGAAGAAGGGATAAACTTCCTTGCGGAGTTGTTCAAAAAAGGGCTTGGGTACAGTGCACTAAATACTGCAAGGAGTGCGCTATCATCGATAGCAAGTTTATCAGATATTACTAGTTTTGGAACACACCCACTGGTTTGCAGATTCCTTAAAGGAGTCTTCGAAAATCGTCCAGCCTTACCAAGGTACACCTGAATTTGGGATGTACGAATAGTGCTAGAATACTTAAAAACCATGCAGCCAAATGAAACTTTGACACTGAAAAAGCTAACACTTAAACTGACCATGATGTTAGCCCTTATCTCTGCTCAAAGGTGCCAAACCCTTAAAGCCTTATCACTGGACAATATATCTCGGGAGGATGATAAGTATGTATTGACCTTCGACCAATTGTTAAAAACATCTCGGCCTGGGAAACACCTAAAGCCTTTCATAGTTAAGAAATATGACCCAGATGCAACACTTTGTCCATTCAAACTCCTTACTGAGTACATTGAAAGAACAAAAACTATTAGAAGTAATTCCAAACAGTTGTTAATTTGTTTCCAAAAACCGTTTAATGTAGCAAGCACGGACACTATCTCGAGATGGCTTAAAACAATCCTAAAGCTGGCCGGAATAAATGATTTTTCTGGCTACAACACAAGAGCAGCATCCTCGTCAGCTGCAAACAAAGCATCCATATCAATTGAAGCAATTATGGAAGCAGCTGGGTGGTCTAATGCTTCAACATTTCAGAAATATTATAATAAGCCATTAAAAACAAAAGCCGACTTCGGTTGTTCATTATTAAATGGTTCCAATGACTAAGCACGAATTTTTTAATAGTGAGAAGTATAATTATATGTGTTGTTGAAAAAATTGTCAATACATTTGGGATTATGTTAAAGCTCGTGATCACAACACTTTGAATATCTCACATGACTCCTTAGTGACGTAGTCCAATGACGAAATAGAATTTAAAAATTGAACGAGACTTACCTGTAAGTTGAAGTTTGATTGTAATTCTATGAGTTATTGGACAAGGAAACTAAGGAGTCACCCATTATATTGGAGGGATGTTTAGTGTAAAAAATCTTATTGCACCCGCCCTAAATGGTTAATGCTGTTGAAATCACTCGCAGCGTTGAAAACTGATTCCTCGATCTGCGTGCGCATATCTCACATGACTCCTTAGTTTCCTTGTCCAATAACTCATAGAATTACAATCAAACTTCAACTTACAGGTAAGTCTCGTTTAATTTTTAAAATTTACGTGACAGTAAATTTTTCATCCACTTTTTCATGCTTGTTTGAGGACAAAAGAATCTCACCTGATTTGTTCAATTGGGTGAAGAAAAACGAAAATCACAATTTATTCGTATTCCGTTTGTGCTTAAGCCTTTACACAGATTGCATTTGCATGAAAACAACTTAAGCTATAGTCATGACTAATAATAGCAATTCGCAGTACAACTCTGTTTTGACATAATCTTTCATCAAGCTTTCTGTGGGAGCTTCACAACACAATAGAAGCAAAATATATGAAAATATACTACCAAACTGTAAACAACTCATTTTGTAATTGCTCTTAGAACCATACACAAAATTTGGGTTTACGTTTAAGCTTTAATAATGCTTAAGAAATAAGTGATGTTCACTGTGTTTGCACAAACTTATGAAAACCGAGGGGATCTTTGGGAGAACTCGGGAGCAGATCAATGCAATAGAGTTCTCACAAACGTGTCCGAGGTTTGCATAAGCTAGTGAAAACACCACAAAGATCTATTTTTCTTTTATAAAATAACTATATAATGCAAAAAAGACAAATTTAAAACAAACATTTTTGTATTTCCTCTAAAATGTACTGATGATTGACTTGCAAATTCTCTTTGATTGATTGATTGATTTGATTTGACTGGTTGCTTGATCGATTGATTTGATTGGTTGAGCTCAGATTGCTTTGCACAGGTCAAAGCCAACACAGCTGCAGACCAATAACGTAAAAAATTTAATTATATTCTTTTGTTATTTTATTAAATCATTTTAAACTAAAGTTACCAGGTTCTGCAAATAATCAAATTTCGTTAGGTTTTGTCCCTACTATTGTGTCTTCAGTTTAGTCAGGAAATGTGACCTATAGTTTAGCAAGTAGTTTAACCTTTTTGTTGATGTACTTGCGCAAACTGTACAAAGTATTGCTAAGTTGCCGCCTTGAAAAATGTTAAAGCCAGGTATGACGGAAAAATTTGACGAGTCGAATCTCTCCTGTCTGATCTTTAACAAGCATTGGATGAGATTGAGAATGATATCAAAAATTATAGTCACTATAGTTTAACACAGAAGCCTTCAAACTATTTGGTATCGGAAACCATAAAGTTTTCGTGCTTGTGGATGGCAATACATTGCAAATTATCTGTAGACCTAAAAATAACCTTTATAAGGTAAAAAAAGCAGCAAAATTCCTAATTAATATATTGATCAGGGAAAAAAGTTAAACAGGATGTCATCTTAAACAGGATGTCTTGGTTCATGTAACTAGATTATGCTAGGTTGAATACTAATTAATTGCCAGTAAAATTAATCCAAACAAGGTTAAATTTAATTTTTTACAGTGTACTTAAGTGAACTTCAAGTTATTACTAAACTGAAATGGGCAGTCACTCATTTATAAAAATATTTAGCTCAATCAATTCACGGAAAAAAAATTAAACTAAAGATCAGCACAGGACAAGACGATTTTAAATAAAAGGTGAGTCGACAAAAGCATAGTCATAAAATCGTCTACTGGGAAACCACAATACGAAATACTAATTCTTTTGATTGCAAATTTTTAAAGTTGTCATGCACAGTGGCATTTCTTACTTGCAAACATCCAAGCCAATCTTGCCACGATCCAACATGTCCACCAGACGTCCAGGGGTGGCAACAAGAAGATGACAACCGCGGTCAAGATCACGCATTTGTTGGCCAACATCAGCTCCGCCGTAGACGACGGCAGGACGTACGTGAGATCTATACGCAAACTAAAACCCAAAAAATCTTTCTATTATTCTTTAAGCTAGGTTGAACATTTAGAAGAAAAAAATCAAAATTCTGTAATGCACCTATAGAAAGATAATTCACAGAATAATGGCAGATATTTCACAAGGTTTGCGTTAGGTTTAGAACGGCGAGGATCAATGTTGTTCAGACTGGAATTACAATAAAATTTGCAAATTGGCTTGCAGATTTCAAGACTTTCAATAACAGTTCTCTCGCTGGTTCAAAAGTTTGAGTTTTCAAAAGATTAAGAGTTAGCTACACCAGAGAACGTTAAAATACTTAGAATTATCGTAAATTTTTGCATATTTTGCGCGTGTCTTAGGTTAAAGAACTTTTTCCAAGAGTATACTTTTTACACCTTGATGCCAACATCTAAAGTATGTTTAATTGCTTGTACTGCGTTAAAAACTTTGCACTTCAGAACAAACGTTTCACCATCCAGAATTTTAAGCCTGAGAGTTGAACTACTGTCATCTGGTCGGTGTTTCACGGGTCATCACATTGAAGTTCGAGAGCGTATTGATTTTATTACGGCTCGTTTTAAATAATCACGACCATTTCTAAAACTTCACTCCCAAACAACCTCATCTCTCAAGATTTCTTCTTTTAGCGGGTTCAAATACTTCGGGCGCTTTCTTATCTCGATTTCTCACACATGATTTTTCAATTCTAGTATGTAATTTGCATTCAAAACAGCATTGAATTTGGTGATAACAGTGGTTATTTCATATCATCCTCCACATAGCATAGCAATCAACTGGTCATGAACAATTCACTATCAATCGAGACTTTACTTTAACTCTACACAAGTTAGTTTTCCAAGTTAGTTAGAAAATTGTTTTCATCATACTGATTAAACGCTCAAACTCACCTTCCGACAATGGGGCCCTGCTCATGTTTAACCTCCAAGCAATTGAATGCTAGCGAAAAAGCTAATTAAACTTTTCCATCTTTTCTCACGCATCTTAACCACTTTGCAGCAGCAACAAACGTGTGGTCTTTATTTGAGCAAATCGCCGACGGCCTACCTCTTTGCGTAATAAGAGGATTTAAATTAGGAAGAAATTCCTTTATCTCAAGAGTCGGTAGTAACTCTAGTTACACTGCACGAGTAAGACTGTTTTCAGTATAAACGATGTAGGATTTTCTTTTATTCTAATTCTGTCTGTACTTCATAAAAAATCGACCACAAATATATTTAATGGTGTGGATTGTTCGGTTCTACAATATGGCAGTAAACCCGGTGGAAACGTACAGAACTTTTTACATCTATGAAATCTCGAGATAATCTTCTCGATTGTTTTACGTAACCGAGGTATCCGAAATTTCTCTTGAACCTTGGCCATTACCATTCCTACCCTCCTTGTAATACCGTGAAATGAGATCCATGTACGATTTCAGCTGTAAATAACACATCATCTGATAGGTAGAATGGATAATTTCACTGGATACGACCACGACACTCTAACAGTTCATCTTTATACATCGTAAATCGCTGTTGATTTTCTTCATCGGCAAAGTTGGACTGTTCGATTGCATGTTGTTGTGCTTTATTAACAAGAAATCTTCCTAGGTTTTCGACCTCAGCGGTTGATATGGCACATATGAACACCTCTTTGTGTTAGCTATATCTTTCGACAAATCTTTCGTCAGTACTGTCGTAAAAATACTTATCTTAACATCAACAGAAAACATGTCTCACTGAATGTTCTTCGCTGCCTGGCTTGCCTGACTTGATTTCGTGACTGAGTTGATACTCTTTTGGTACTTCGTGCTCCATTACATTCCATTTCTATGCTATTCATAATTCTGGCTCTACTCCCTTCATCACCTGGATTGTCAGTTGTAAAAACAGGTAGCCATAAAACATTCTCGACGTTTTTCAAATTCGACTGGCCACAAACTGACGACACTCCTGTTATGGTTCGACCAATGAAATGGAATCGTGTCATGCCGTCCAGCTGACAGTAAAATTACGTACAACCAAATTCAGAGCCATGTGAGCAGCCACAAATTGCAATCTTGGGATGGTTAGAGTAGTTTGTGCGAGATTTGGCCACAACTAATGCTTTTCCCTTATTGCTAGAATCACCAAAGGAAGCTAAATGGATCTCGAGGATGGGTTCGTAATTTCTTGGCTCTCTGCATTAAAACGAGACAAACGGTGATAGCTACATCGCACTTCCACTTCGTCGTACGTTTCTCCAATTCTATTCTAACTTAACTCAACAATCTTGAAAAATCATTTTTCCTTCACAGCGGTGATATATAACCTTCAATTGTCTGTGCCTCATTGATTGAACTTCGGAATCAAGTTCAGGGTAGTTGAAGATTCCTAACAATGACTCGCTTCACTATCCAGCCGTGCACAACATTTGAACCCATTTAGTTTTTCCAACACCACAGAATGCATAACCGCAGACCTCCCAACATGATTGGCTGTGTTCAAGATTCGTCAGAAAAGTTGGTTATGTCTCACAAATAGATATATGGTGTCGCTTTGACTAACCTGGCATCTCTCTTTACTTTTACATTCGGAAGGATTGTATCTTCCTTTAACACAGTTAAAACATACTCTCTTCTGTACCAATATCTTTTTTCTTTCTTATGCTATCACAATCGCAGTAGAGTTGACTGCATTATGACCTCTGGAAAAGTACAGACATCCCTTAACAACTTAATCTTGAAACAACCACTCTTAAAACCATCTCTTAAAACAACCACTCACGCCAATTTCCATCGGTTATCGCTAGTTTTCCCTTGATCACCTGTAGTTTGCCTGATGTGAAATGAAGAGCCGCATAAAATTTACCAAGACTTTCAAGGGTGTGTCAGGAGGATTCTATTTTTCAGCACATATGTTTCTTCTGAAATGCTTCGTGAACTTTGAGCAACATTTCTCCTTCAAAGTGGGCAATTCAAGAATCGTTCGGATGTATGCGCTCACTACTTCTCTGGTGTGCCCTTATCGTTTTATCATTTTACCATGAGTTCCTTAGTCTGCGTACCCTTCACTTGTAAATGGTAAATAATCAACAAGCTTAAGTATTTTGAGATGAACTAATTCCCTGAGGTAAGAGAAGTTGGTCACATCAACAGATCGGTGGATCAGAGCTTCGTAAAGACCACAGAATAATACCCATAGTCTAGAGCATCGAAAAACTTGGAGGTTACCACCAACTGAGGTATCTTTGCTGTTGCCGGTATTAGCTGTGCAGACTAGTTTGATCCAGCAGGTTAGGTTAGAGTTAGGGCTTTTATTTTCAGTTGAAGTAAAGTTTGATTTCCTCTTTTTTACCACCCGCTTGCATCTATTGTTTTTAAACTATTATATTACTAGTAAGTAATATTGTGTTTATTTCAAATATAATTCACCGTCCTTATTATACGTTGTCAGTCACTCCTAAATCACGCAACAGAAGCGATTATATGGAAACCGGGCATCAATAAATAAAATCCATATCTTTCTTCTTTTTGCAAAAGTTCAATCAATTCTTTGTGTAACCGTGAGTTGTCTCGTTCAGACAACTGATTTTCATTTTTCATATAGCATAGGTGAGAAAATTTAACAAACACAATACAAAACTACAACCAGCTTCAATAAGAAAAATTGAACAGTATCTAGGTAACTGCTGCGAGAGACACATGCCTAACCTTTTTTGCTTCATCGAGAATTTGAATGGCTAATTCACGGGTCGGAGCAAGAATAAGACCGATAGGAAACTGCTTTCGTCGACCAAGATGCTTCATCTGTAAAAACATGAAACAAATTCAACAATGTTACCAAATTTCCTTTTAATAATTTAATACATAGCTATTAAGTAACAAAATTTTATGTTGGTGTTACAAATACTGTATACTCCCCTCCGAATCAGCGCAACCTTCGATCAAAGCAGTGTGACAATTAAGCAAATCAATCCGCCATCTTGGCTTCATCTCTAAACTCATTACGTATTTTGTGCAAATTTTGCGCAAATAATACTCATTCCATGGTTCCAACGATACATGTATTGCAATTGTGTATGTAACTATTCAGTACGATAAACGCTATATGTTCAACAATTTATCTTTTGAATGTTTTTGAGGAGTATGATAGGTCGTTCACTCACGAGAAATCAAAAGCAAGCTTACTTTCATATGAACAGACAACATTGACAATACAATATTGTAATATAGGTACTAGAGCCCAAAGATCGCTTTTGAGAAAGCCATAAGCGTTTGACAGATTGCACAGGATTTATTTTCATACCCAAGACTTATTCAGACTAACTACAGATTGTGTAGCTTAAAATATTTAGCTATTTAAACGATTAAGTGTTTCAAAACTCAAGCCATCATCAACTTTTTTCTTTTAACACTGTGTTTTTCATGTTTTAATTTCTTCGATTACTTGCCCCTCCCCCCCTCCCACACATTTTCTTTTAATCTTGTCCACTCGTCTTTTACAATCATATTTCATATCCGCTCTACATTGTACTTGCACATTCACTCTTATCTGATACCTTAAAGTGGTACTATGACGAAAACTGAACGTTAAAAAATCATCGATTTTAGCATTCAATAGTTTAAACACATATCAATTATTGCTTTCGTAAAATTTAAGCAAAAATAATAGTATAACGAGGGAGTTATGAACATTTGAAATGCCTAATTTTAATGTCCGCCATTAAAATCGGCCATTTTGAATATTTGCAATCAGCAAAGGTCTGTGACGTCATAGTCTTAACATAGCAAGAAGCGCACATTGGAAAGTATACAAAGTAATACATAAATTGAGCAAAAAAATGTCAAATTCATCGAGATCTAGCTCGCTTTCTGAGTCTTCGATCGAGACAAACGCATCGATTTCTTCATCGGAATTCATGACGGCAAATTCGGACGAATCTAATTCGGAAATTTTGCCATTTGCCGATAATATTGAACCGCTTGCTTCGCCTGATTAAATTGCTGAGTACGAAGCTGCAGTCGCAGAAGAACGGCAGGTTGAGGACATGCTGCAAGATCGTTTTGATGCCCGTGTTGATGTTACTTCATGGTAAGATGTCATTCTTAGTGTGTTACTTTGATCTGAATCGTCTGCCGTTAGCTATGATAACTTTATGGAAACATACAATTTGGCCAATATTAAAGGTGTGAATGTGGCCATTGTTCGTTGGATCTTGTTGTCAACCCTCAAGAGTGCCGATGCTGCATGGAATTAGAGCAATGCCGTGGTAAAATGTATCAGTTCGAAGTCGATGAAAGGAAATGCATTTTGGATCACACTGGCTTTAACGAAGTTTGACTGAACGAATTTGTTCTTCAAGCAGCTTCGTTAGGTTTAAAGACCAAAGGTCATCCCAGTTATGCGACCGTTTTTCGAGATGGTCAAAAGACCAGAGAGGAGTAAGCCTTTTTCTTTGTGAAAATTCTAAAAATATTATTTTGTGCGCCTGCATCTATGTTTACTTTTTGAAATTTATAGGTTCTTTCGAGCAGTATCGTACAGACAACTCGTGCGTCTTCTATGGGACTTTACAGGCAGCTCCAGACATTTGCCACTGCCTTGTTGTTGTTACAACAAAACACGGACGATATTTTTCTTCTTGAAAATAGCACGAATCTTCTTTCTTCATGCATGATACAGACACTTCATTTTGTATTTCCTTTAAAACCTTAGTATAAATGTATATTATATATTGAAAGTTTGCCTGGATGTATTATTGGTTCTCTCAAATTGTGAAAATTTATCATCTGCAATATGTGTAAGTATATAATAGTTGTAACTTGTGCTAACCTGACGCCGCTCTCTTGACGTTGTTGGTGTTGGCGATTTCTTCCAAATAGTAGGTACGGCACCAGGTTTGAGCCGTCTAGTCATACCACCCAAATGGAAAAAACGCTCAAAACAATCATCCGAGAAGTGATTCGAACAAATCATAAATCGAATTTCGCGCGAACTCGGATTAAAGTTTGCGCGCTTCGTCTCAACAAATTTAAACCAAATTCTTCGTAAAGACTCGTCGTTTGGGCTTTTATGTAATGAAATGCCTGTACTTCTATCAGACGTATTACTGCAATCTTGCACGACACAGCGTGTTGAAGGCATGTTAAAAAAATTGAGTTATACAACCTTTTATATCTCTATTTGTATATAGTGTTATATTGTAAACAGCCGCGAGTTAAGACTATGACGTCACAAGCACCTTCCTTCTTGAAAATTCAAATATGGCGCATTTTAATGGCGGCTCTTAAAGTACAAGTTTATCGCTACGTAACTCGAGCAGCATTAAATACATTGCGCTAAAATTTCGCCAGAAGAGATTTTTTTACATACACTATTAATCTATGAAAAAAAAACGGGAGGCAAAATTTTCGTCATAGTACCACTTTAACTATGTAAATAAGTAAAATAACAAAATCGCATTGGCATTTAATGCAGTTTGGTTTTAATGCGTATCGTTTATCTCACACTCTGGTAACAGTGCTCTGTGAAGAAAATGAAAAGATGAAAAAAGGCATTATTCTATAAAATCAAACGCTTATGGCTTTTTCAGAAACGATCTGTTCTGATTTGAACTTAAGTATCATCTTTGAATGCAGAGGAATTGCACATATCAAATGTTTCATTGAATTCATTGCCCATAGTTTTACCCGCATCATGTGTTTAAATGGGTTGTCGTAATGCTTCAAATCATTGAAGCCGACATTATATTGTAAAAACTCGAAAGAATAATACATTTAAGCTTTCGAGTTTTTACTAATAATATTGTTTAACCTAAATCCAGTATATAATAGAGATCAATGATATGGAAGTCCATCCTTCGGTCGTCCGTCTACTTTTATGCAGTATAACCTAGTGCTACTCACAAAAGCTTGACTGCATTCATACAATGTTCTTGCATGTGATACACAACATATGCACCATTTACAAATTTAAATATTAGCATTTTTGAAAGATATCTTCCGAAGGGGCCTACCAGCTCGATATTCGAGTGCGAATAAGGATTAATTGCCACAATGCTGCGAAAGTGTTAGATAGAAATTTAAGTTTTTAGTTTAAACTAAGTTTTAGATGAAGTAAGTTGTAGAGTAACAAATTTTTAGGAGACTTTTTCTTAGAGTATTTTTCCAAAATCAAATTTTGAAAATTTGGGCATGGGTCTAATCTTTAGCACGAAATCAGTAAGACAGCAAAACAAAAGTAAACAAATGTTGCATTCTCTAGAGTTCATTATCTAAGCATTAAACGGTAAAGGCAGCAGATTAACGGTGATTGGTCAAATACGATAAATAACAGAAAAGATGATTGTCTGACTGTCTTGTCATTATAAAAATACATAAAAAGTACATACGTCAGGGGGGGACGGAGGTCCATCTTCAAAAATTCGACTCAAAATCGGAATAAGGAATGCAGCAGTCTTTCCAGATCCTGCAAGATGAATAAATTTTCCTCAATTAAATTTCCTTGGCGAACAGAAAAGGGACACGGATATTGTACAAGATTTAGAAAACGGACGCATCCAATTTTAAAACAAATTTTTTTAAATTGACAATGTCTAGCATAAACTTCTATCCTTTTAATGCATGTAATGCGTTTTCAACACATTCAATTCACTCTTACAACAGATTCACTTAAAAATAACAAAAATTCGCCAATGTATTCATGGCATGAACAGTGAACTCGACATTTGAATAACTGGAATGATAACCGAAGCCAAAAATTGAAGCCAAAAAATATTTTTCGTCATCATTCGTCATCACACGTCAGGCTCTAGTCTCTCGCCTGTACATTTTAATTTTTTTAAATCATTTGTCCCTTCGTAATGGTAGAGTTCAGATCTTGATCAGAGCGTAACAATAACGAAATTTTTGGAATGAAAAGGTTCACGGAAAGTGAATCAAAGTGATAAATCGAGAGAAGCAAGGTCAAGTGAACTTAGTCGATCTGCTCTTACGCTGCGGTTTTCCTTTAAAACATATCAAAGTCTTTAAGGATATTCAATTATTGATATCGAGATGACAACCATTTGGTATTTGAAACACTATCAAAATCGATGAAAATGACAATCGCTCTGTAAAAAGTAAAAATGGGAGTTATAGACTCAACATTTTTTATGAAACTGGGTATTCAAGTTTCTTTTTTCTTCGGAAAAACAGATCTTTAAATCCACTTAAATAACAAAAAAGACAAACACTGTCTGACACCGTTTGAAAATTTACATTCCGATGTAAGAAAAATTTTTGCTTGAATATTTTCTCGTCATATTTTCTTATTGCATTGTCTTTTTATCATACATTGTAATTTTCAGTTGGCTTTTCCTCGTTGGCTTTTCCTCAAATTTATATTGGCCGTGTATGTTTGGCACTCAGGGGAATGAAACTGACGTACAAATCGCGTGAATATTCGACTTTGAAGGACTGGAACTGACGTACAAACCGCGCAAGAGACTAGGACTTTGGCTTCAATTTTATATCTATAAAATGTATTGTCGTTATCATTCCAGTTATTTAAATGTTGAGTTCACTGGGCATGAAAAACTCAAAAGAAAGTAGTTTAAAAAAGCTAACCTGTCTGAGCGCAGGCCATCAAGTCACGATATCCAGTGATGATCGGTATGGCATATTTTTGAACCGGTGTTGGCTTGGAATATTGACACAGCTGAATGTAAATGAAAAAAATACTGTCTACGCATCTACGTCACATCCCGTCACAAATAATCGCAAGGTTTCCCTTTTTGACGAAATTCTGACAAAAAAATTGGATTTCGACGAAAAAACAGGAATCAAGGAAATCGGAGGAAATTTTCCAATATCTGAGTAATCTGAAGAATCTTCGAGAATTTTTTGTTGTACGTTGTGGAAACACTGAATAATCACGATAACAACTTCTTTTTGAAAATTTCGCGGATAGACTTACTTCAATATTGTGAGTTATAACTTCTCCCAGTTTGGAGCAATCAGAGAACTATATAAAAACGTAGAAAAAACATCAGCAAGAAAGTAAAAATAAAATTTAGTGTTTGGAAAAAATGGTAAGCAATTGACAAGGACGAACGTCCAATAACCTTCAATTTTTGAATTAGTGATGACACAAAACAAAACAACTATTTCGACATAAAATGTTGATAAGCTAGCAAAAAGAGAAAACCTATTTCTAAAACGCGGTGGTGATGACTAAGTACTTGATGATTGTGTAGCAAACATGTTCGTGCAATATAAGTGGGATCCAAGTATACAAGAGGTAGCACTTTTTTCAGCAAATATAACCGGGTATTAATTAACAAGCTATACACAAAGTAAAATGCACAGGTGCAACGTCTTGCAAAATTTATAAATTTTAACAACATTTTCAATATGATCTGGGCATTTATCTCCGGTCGCCTCCACGGGAATATCTTCGTATTTGTCAAAATTGATACCGGTGTTGCAGCCAGCATACAGCTCTCTGAAAGTTAAAATAAACATTTAGAAGAGAGATTAACACGCGTTTCAGTCGCATGTATACTATCACAGACAGCAAATCGGCGTGCAAGATCGATCTTGCAAAATTGATTTCATGTGAATGTAGCACATTTCAGCTGTTTTTATTGAACACTTCATTTTCAAAAAATCTTCAAATTGCGCGCAAAAAAAGGAGAACAACAAATTTGTTACACATTAGTTCATGTGACAATAATCCACAATGTTGTTTTTGCTTGGTTGATTTTCCACGATTAGTTAATAAGTCACAAACTCCCAAACAAAGAACAGAGAGCGCAACTTGTAAAGAATGCTTGCAATTACGGCGTTCCAGATTTTAGAAAAAAAATCATGCAAGAATTCAAATTGTAAATACACGCAAGACAAAATAACACATTTCCAAACTTGGATGAAGTGAAGGAATTTAAAATGTTTTTAACTGAATGTTTTTCTATTTTGAAAAGATGTATCAATAAAATGTGTTCTTTTCTCCAGAGTAGTTATTAATTGCGTTCTTTCTTCACCACAAAAATGCTCAATTTAAACTTTACTTCCAGTTTTACAATTACCTTTACAATTACTTTAAAACAAAGCTTTACAACTGTTTTAATTTATGGTTGAGAACAAATCCATCTATGGAAAATGGAAACAAGCAATTTCTTGACATGGTACATATAAGTGCTTCAAAAAACTAAACTTTCTATCATCACAAATTATCCATTTTTTACCAAACCAATGAGTGACAGATGTTAGCATCCTAGGAAGCTGCGCTACGTAAATGAAGGTGTCTAAAGCTAACTGCAAACCATAGTCAAAAAAACTAATTCACACATAAGAAAAGCATAAAATTTAAATTTATCCGATAAAAAATTGCAATCTTTACTGACTAGAATTTTTTAGCAATTAGCAATTTCTTCGCGCATCAATAAAATTTCCACAATAGATTAAGATCTTGCCCCGCTATGCTTAACATGAACGAATTCAGTTTATGAGAACTAACATTTCAAAAATTCCAAAAATGATAATTGTAAACCTCATTTTAACTTTCCTTTTCCCTTGGCAGACTTTTTCAAACCGAATGAGTCACAGGTATTTTTCATACTGAATTTAGCTATTAAAAGATCTTTAAGTACCTTTCCAAGCGTTCATTGGGTGGTAATAGCTTGCCCCAATCTTCCGCAGAGGGCAACGACATCCAAGGATCTACAATGTTACAGTCAAAAACATATTTATATGCACGAGACGTGTATGTTTTTCTACATAGATACAATGAATGTTAAAAAGTGACGATACTTTGTTTCAAACGACGATGTTTCGTACTTTTGGGCGAAAAATGTCTCATGAAGATTACGTAGCTCGCTGCTAGGTTTTATAATACTACATGATTTTTACCAGATGCTTGTTCGACATTAGAAAAGCCGATTGGCCAATGATGTTTATATGAGCGTCTGATTATTTGATAAAAGCAGCATTATTTCATCGTTAAGACTTACACCACGCCAGAGTGAAAACAATGAAGCCTACGTTTTCCCTATCCGCTAGAACTATGGCACGGTCTCAATAGTGCTTACATTTCATTTACATCAGCAACAATAATGCCTCGTAAACACACGTAATTTTCCACAAATTTACCCCATTCTTGTCATTTACGAGTTTTTCGAAAAGCAAGCAAAGGATTCTAGTGAACCTGACTTTTTTGAAATTTAGCCCTAAAATGCAAACATCAAAAACAGAACCACCATATGGCGTAGTGTGTACGTCCCACAATCTAAAAGCTCACTCACCCTCACAATCACTGAGCAGGACTTCAAAATCAGCTCACAGTTACGAGCACGAAGAGAGCAATTTCATACCCATGATTGTATGATTCTAGCGAAAATTTTTTTAAATCATTTGTCCCTTCGTAATGGTAGAGTTCAGATCTTGATCAGAGCGTGAAAATAACGAAATTTTTGGAATGAAAAGGTTCACGGAAAGTGAATCAAAGTGATAAATCGAGAGAAGCAAGGTCAAGTGAACTTAGTCGACCTGCTCTTACGCTGCGGTTTTCCTTTAAAACATATCAAAGTCTTTAAGGATATTCAATTATTGATATCGAGATGACAACCATTTGGTATTTGAAACACTATCAAAATCGATGAAAATGACAATCGCTTTGTAAAAAGTAAAAACGATGAAAATGACAATCGCTTTGTATAATGAAAAAACGACTTTGTCATTGATTAGAGAGAGGGCAATTTTCATGTCGCACTCAATGATTGTGAGTGAGCTTTTAGAATACGAGAACAAATGGATATTATTATAACATTTTATACCTTTGGGAGAGTCGTAATTTCTGTCCCTATAACCACTACCACGTTTTCCATAACCACCGCCATAGTTATTTCTATTAATGCCACCAAAGTTATTGTATTGATTATATCCATAACTTCCCCCACCGTAACTGTTGCCATAACTATTGCTAGGGGAATAACCTATAACATAAAATAAGACACTGATTAAACGAACTTTTAGCTTAAGACCACTAACTTCCTCAGGGCATTCAAGTAATGGATCGAGGCATCGGTAGTCAGGGAATTCGGCAAAGAGAATACAGCAATTATTCGCTACTTTGACTTCGAACGATTTGTGTAGTAAACATAGTCATTTCGCAGGAGTTATGATACCGTGATTCTTGACTGACTTTTGGAGTGAATGAAACACTCGAAAGTTCAACTTTGTCTGTATCGATTGGTCCATTCATAACAATTGTGCAATCTAGTTGGTCTAAGTTACAATCCAGTGACAGCTTGCATTTTCGGTCATTGTATAGTCCAAAGAATTTGCATGACTTTTGGCTGCTTTTGCAGCGAGATTGTGCGGGAATTTATGCCGGCAGAATTAAGTTTTTCAAAGCATTTTACTCAACAATGCGTCGGAGTTACATACATTGTCGAGAACTCCATAAAGTCAGCGCATTTATATTGTTAATATAAGCTTCGTTTATTTAGAAATTGTGAAGCCATATTACCAAAGTTTGTGTCGATTCACACCATATATACGTACGTAACTGTTTTGTTAATTTATGTCGCGTATTGGTCAAGTTTTAAGTTGAACTGGCTGAACCTAAATAGCTAAAGTTCACGATTTTTGCAGGCTATATTTGAGTTGGGTAATAGAATAATAAAAGAAAAATAAAGCATGAAGAATAACTTTCAAAAACGTCCTTATACTCCCTTCCTGAGATGGTACCTAGTGTAAATTTCTTTGTCATACGTACCTCTTTCACCACTTCTTCCTCCGTAATAGCTGTCTCTGCTAAAAAATTCAGCTGAACGTTGTTGTGTGCCTCCACCTCCTCCACGAAGATGAGGAGGGATGTAAGCTACATAAAAAAGAACAATATTTTTCACAAGCTGACAAGTCACTTTATTAGATACTGCACAGAAAAGCAAGGTTGAGATTTTTTTGTGAAATAAAATATAACTTCAACAGTCCTCACCACAAAATAACTTAAAGGGTGGTGTTTCGACGTTCATCACCATGAATGACAATCAAATACATACATTTTGTCCGGGTGATACTTAATGCAAAATATTACTCAGCTTAACTAACATGCCATTGTAAGCCATGCAAATGGATATATACAAAATATACTAAAAAGTATATAAGCTAAAAACTGTTTAGATTTAATGCAATGTTTCCTTAATGACTGAAATCAAATACATTTGATAATGCAATTAAATAAAAAAGTCATTTATTTTACATTATCAACCTTTATAGTTAAACTAAATTCCAAACCATTTTCATCAAGGCAAATAAAAATTCTCCCACCATACAGTTATAGTTTAAAGTAAGAAATTTTTCATAATAAAGACAATTGGCAAACATTAAATTTGTAGCGTTGTCATTGGAACAATAATCATAATTTTATTTGGTTTTTGAATTTTCATCTTTGTAAATCATCAGACAAAGCTGAGCAAAACTTATATATTACGAACATAAATACAGAGATTAAATTACAGTGACAAATTGGACCAAGAGTACTTACACTGTGAGAAACCATACGTACAATACAGATGTAAACAATGGTGGATATGATCACAAAGAGTAGTGGGGTGCTTAAAATAACTCAAGTGGGATGGAAGCGCTTTGGACAATCACTGTGAGTGCGAGTTAAGAGATTGGTAGACTTTCAAGATTTATTAAGCTATGTAAGCTGATAAATTAATATGAAATAAGATGGTGGATATGGCAGGGCGTGATGACTGTTTTCATGTCAAAGACAACACTCTCAAGTGTTCTGAGACATTGATATGAAGATGGCAAGTGGGTAGACCAACAAATGTATGACATGGCACAGCATCGACACTTGAAGTGATAAACAAGAAATTTCATAATGGACTTCTAAGGCCATGCACCTCAACAAATTTACATTCTTTAAATTGGCAGGTTTTAAATGTTAACAAACATCATTGCGATTCCCAACAACCTCAAATCAAACCAGAGGAATGAAAAAACTAAGCATAAGAAGGCAACTTTTGACAATAATGTTAGCACATTAAATTGAATAGGACCTAATTTATAATTATGACATGTTTAGAAATCCCACATCAGATGTTTAGTTTTCATGGTTATAGTTGATTATTTTATATAAACTTTTTATTTTGAAATTGCTATAAAAGCTTGGGTAGTCCAGGAGGACTACAGTGACGTGCTGGACAAGACTCTACCACATTCTCCATATTTTGTCGAATATGACAGACATAAATTCTTCATTTTTATCAATAGAAAAGCTATGAAGTATAACAATAAACTCTTACGAAAAGAGTAGTGTTCAGGAAGGCATAATTTAAGTTTTTAACAAGTAAATAGTTATGTCACAACCATACGAGTGAAAACTAAAGATTCAGTGTAAGCTTAATAATTATTGCTCAAAAAGTTGAGAAACTATTTTAGTTATTCAATACGCACATGAACATGCTGACCGTTTATGAAACATGAGTGTGAAAGAACAGCTTTGATTCTTTTTTAATAAGGATAGTGGTTGGGTAATATTGCACTATAGTGCAAACATGAGAAAACTGGCTTTGCATGTTTTTCAAAATAAACAGCAGTTTGTAAAACCACGGTCAACAGCAAGCAATGGTTTTCCAAAGAATTCAATATGGCATATCATATATATGTGAATAATAGCTCCCCCCCCCTCCCCAATTATCAATTGCCCAAATATCCTTATCAACTTCCTTGATCTAAAATTGGAATGGTAACTCTCCTACAACATATCTTAGAATCCTATATTAGCTTAACCTATTTTTTAAATTGTTCGAGTTTCTACAATTTCTTTCAAGATTCCAAAATGGTGAAAATGTTGTAGAATAAGTCAATAAGACATATACTTTGCCACAATAGCTACATACTTTATATCATAATCAGCAAAGACACTTGTAATTAATTAAACTACACAAATTAGTAGGTTTCATATACTGCAGGGTTTACTACATTTACTAGCATTGCATAATCAGCCTAGAACACCAATGGAATTGCCCGATCAAAGTCCCTATCAATATTTCATGCCACAAAGCAAAATGAGAAATAAAAAGGTTATTATTTCTATAGCTAATTACGTATGTAGTGGGTAATAGTAAAACAGCACGTCACGCATGCTTTAAAAACTATTTTTCAATAACAAAAACCTAAAAGTGCAGATTTATCATAAAGAGAGTAAACCATAACTTACTGCTTTGTGAAGTCCTTTGAGTGCCAGCGTTCCGACTTTGCAGATCACCGGCTTTCAAGTCTAGGCCAGCAAACTAAGAAAAACACGAACGTATATGTATAATACTTTTTTAAACAGTATTATTTGTTAAAAAGGGCATCGTCAAGTAAAACACAAATGTACATGCCCAGGCAATGAATGCGCGCTAACAGGATTATTTTTGGCAATGGCAAAGCAAGTTTGATATTTACAATCAACAGAAAATTCCCGATAAAAAGTCCGCTTAAAGAAAGACTATATTACTAACATACTTGCCGATCTTGACTTCGATTATTTTCTGGGGCTCCATAACTCATAACTGAAATGATATTTGATTTTAAATAAGTAGGATTTCCTCTGGTGGCGTTTGCTGAGTAAAAGTGAAAACTGTTTTATTGTCTAAGTGAGCCTTCAGGCAGCAATCCATCGGCAGTGAACTCGACATTTGAATAACTGGAATGATAACCGAAGCCAAAAATTGAAGCCAAAAAAATATTTGTTGTCATCATTCGTCATCACACGTCAGGCTCTAGTCTCTCGCGTGTTCATTTTAATTTTTTTAAATCATTTGTCCCTTGGTAATGGTAGAGTTCGGATCTTGATCAGAGCGTAAAAATAACGAATTTTTTGGAATGAAAAGGTTCACGGAAAGTGAATCAAAGTGATAAATCGAGAAGCAAGATGAGGTGAACTTAGTCGATCTGCTCTTACGCTGCGGTTTTCCTTTAAAACATATCAAAGTCTTTAAGGATATTCAATTGTTGATATCGAGATGACAACCATTTAGTATTTCAAGTTTCAAGCACTATCAAAATCGATGAAAAATACAATCGCTCTGTAAAAAGTAAAAATGCGAGTTATAGACTCAATATTTTTTATGAAACTGGATATTCAAGTTTCTTTTTTATTCGGAAAAACAGATCCACTGAAATGACAAAAAAGACAAACACTGTCTGACACCGTTTGAAAAATTACCTTCCGATGTAAGAAAAATTTTTGCTTGAATATTTTCTCGTCATATTTTCTTATTGTATTGTCTTTTTAGCATACAGTGTAATTTTCAGTTGGCTTTTCCTCGTTACAAGTTGTAAGTTACAACGAGCTCACTGTAGTAAAGTTTCAGCTGTAAAAAATAGCCTTTTGCGAGGAGTTAGCCTGGTGTGTTGTTTGTAGTGACGTTGTTTATATGTTTATGCTTTCGCAATTTGTATTCAAATTTATATTGGCCGCGTATGTTTGGCACTCAGGGGAATGAAACTGACGTACAAACCGCGTGAATATTCGACTTTCAAGGACTGGAGCTGACGTACAAACCGCGCAAGAGACTAGGACTTTGGCTTCAACTTTTTATGTATAAAATGTATTGTCGTTATCATTCCAGATATATATATATATATGGAGTTCACTGTCCATCGGTCACAGTGAAAAATGGATTACTTCAACTAGGCAATCGTGGAATTCTGGGGCCGGTTGCACGAAGCCTGGATAGCGCTATCCATTCGATAGCGAAAATTTTCAAACGTGTAAAACAGGTGTTTATATTTTTCTTATGACAAAAAAATTTTGTAATCTTCGAAACAATATTTTATTTCCATGATTTCACATATCAAATCGTATATATTTCTCCTCCAAGAGATTTTGTGAACGTTCAGAAAAATTTGCTATCCAGAGGATAACTCTATCCTCTGATGTCTTCGAAGAAAGTCAATTTTGTTCAAGACTGTTCAAATTGGAAGTCCTAAAATTATCGACGTTTCAACAGTAAATTTAAAATAAACATGATTCAAAATCTTATAATGCCATCTTCAAAATTTAAGAAAGGTATTATGTATGTGATATGTGAAGTGCTTCTTTGATTTTGAGGGCGAATGTAGTATCTGCAGTGTCGATGATTTTGAAGCAAGAGCACATTATAGTGAATATACAGTAGAGACACTCTATTGAATTTTTTCGTGCCACACGTATCTTATTACACATGTAATTACCAAAGTAGCAGCCAGTCAATCACTTTTTTTAAACAATAGGAATGAAGAAATGGCTAACGGCAGCCAGTAGTCTAATTAAATATACAGCAGCCAATTGCACATGTAGTGGACCTACTGTATATTCCTATACTGTGGCAAGAGGGTGAATAGTAAGTCTTACATGAAGGTGATTTTAAAAGGTCTCGATAGATATGTGAGTTTTTGTCAGTTGTGGCTTGTTCCCTGATTCTGGTGGACAAGTCTGTCTGTGAGTGTGCGTATTAATCAAGTTTTGTATGAAAAAAACGCACACTCATAGACAGAGCATACAAAATTAACAACACCGACAATGGCTTTCAACAAGACCTAAAGAACATCACATCTATTTTATTACGCAACTCTCCCCCACCACACTTCATTAACAAAACTGTTAAACGATATCTCCAAGACAAAACAAATGCTAACTGCAAAGCAACACTAAAACGTCTGATATAACAACCGATACCAACAACAACGAGCAGCCCATAAAAACTCTTTACTTTAAACCAGGCTCGTAACCAGGGGGTGCAACCTCCCCCCATAACTAAAAAATGTCCGCTTTTCTAAGCTAGCTCGCTTTACAGAAATAAAAGAACAATGAACAATCTAAATTGCCTTTTACATTTTTGATAATGAAAACGATCATATCTTTATGTTTTAGAACCTGTTAGTTTCCCGGTAGCTTCAAATAAAAAGTGCACTAGTACTAGAGCATGCGCTAAAATAAACACAATCATGCGGCCATGTTGATGCCATTATTTCATAGCGAGCATAAGTTATATCGAGCATGTAATTTATCATGGGACGTCGTGAGGAAAGAGAACGCAAAAAAAGAAAGGCAGCCAAATCATGCAAAAGTATTCATGGTTTCTTTCACCCAAAGCAACAGAAAGATGGTCAGTAACTCAGTAACTGTATTTGTATTACTGCATATAAAAATTTTTTTCGAGTGTTAATCATTTAAATTAAATTAATTTAAATGTCAGATACTGAGGAAAATTTACCCGAGAAAAATTTGCCCTCAATTAAAATCTGCCAAGAAACTCATACTAGCTCCCAAAGCACATCTTATTAGTGAGATACAAGAAAGTAAAGATATGTATTATCCTCAAAGTAGGTTGAAGAATTTCACATGCAGATGGTTATATAGTTTGATCTACTATGCTTTATAGTTCACTTTTAACATCTGTCACTTACTAAATGTCATTATATAATTATGTTTTAAATTGTAGGGATGGCATGTTCTGATATTGGTAGAATAGCCAATGGATCAAAAGAGGACATCCAAAAAGCAATAGATAATCTCACTTCGGGCGAGAAGTACAATTTTCTTAGAACTGCCACTTGAGGGTTATAATTTCACTATTTCAACCTGAGCTTTTAAATTTTAATAAACCACCGATGGCTCCGCTACAGCATACATTTGGATGGTTTTTTTTGCATATTTTGTACTTTGTTTTCGTAAGGACAAAACAAATGAAGGACGTTTTGTTATAAAATTATTTTCAAATTGGCATAGACAGCATGAAAAATGCAGAGATCATGAAAATCTTGCTTACCATAATCATGCACAAAATATGGGGGATGAAATGATTTACGGTCATAAACACTCTGAAGCAAATGTGCCTTTCTGTTGGACAAAAAGAAGGATGAGAACATCAAACGAAGTAGACATATCCTGAAGAGTGTGTTTGAAGTGATGTTATACTGTATGAAACAATGCATAGCTCTTCGAACATCAAATGAAGACATTACATGCCCTGATAATCACAGAAACTTTCTAGAACTTTTAAAACTATTGGCAAAATATAACGATGTATTAAAAATGCAACTCTTCTTTCCTCAAATGAAGAATGCTAAATACACATCCCTTTTAGTTCAAAATGAAATGATAGACATTTTGGCAAACGATATTGTTCGTAAAAACATAATTAATGAAATTAAAGAGGCAAAATTTTTTGTCATAAGTGCAGAGAAGTTATAAGCCACAATGTCGAGCAGCTTTCATTGTGTATTCGTTATGTTGAGAAAAGTACAGAAGACATCGTTGAAGCATTTATTCCTTTTGTGAGGCTAGAAAGAATAACTGGAGAGAGAATCGCGTCAGAAATTAAGAAAGCGCTTGTAGATCTTGGTCTTCAACTACAAAGCCTAAGTGGTCACTGGTCAGGGTTATGATGGGACTAGCAACTGTGTAGACGTCACTTCCTGTTGAATATTACTTCCGCTTATAATGTATATATATAGAGGACATTTAGATAAGAGGGCATTTAATAAAAACAAAACATGGTGGCAGCGATAGGATTCTGTCTAAAATAGTAAAGACCAGTGGACAAGAGACGTGGAGATAAATAAGAAATGGCATTTCAAACACAAATTCCATTGCCAGAAAAATTAGAATCGAAAAAGCCCGAAGATTGGAAGCGATGGATTGAACGATTCGAATGTTATCGCATCGCAGCTGGCTTAGACGAAAAAGATGATAAAGTACAAATCAATACTTTGGTATATGCTATGGGAGGCAATACCAATGATCTTTTAAAAAGCTTTCAAATAAGCGAAAGAGATATGGTGTGCGGAAATGTTGTAGAACAATTTGTATCGCACTTTGTTGGTCGATCGAACACAATTTTCGAGCGTGCTTGGTTCAATAAACGAATACAGGGTGAAAAAGAATCAGTCATCGACTTTGTGGAAGATTTGTACAAACTGGCGGAAACTTGCCAATTTGGAACACTAAAAGACGAGTTGATACAAGACAGACTTGTCGTCGGTATACAAAATGCAAACCTTTCACAAAGGCTAATGCAAGATGATAAATTAACATTGGAGAAAGCTATTAGGGAGGTGAAATCATCGGAGCTTGTCAAGCACCATCACGATATTCTAAAAGGAGACAGCGAAAATGGGCTGATTGGTCGCGTAAGAACAAATCAACGAAAAGGTAATTGATACGACACAAAAATCGAAGTTAAAATGGAATCAGAACAGGAGTTCCGATCAACATTCGAGAAAGAAAAAGCGTCAATGTTCTCGATGTGGAAGATCAACAATTCACAAAAGAGAGGATTGTCCAGCGAACAATAAAACTTGTTTAAAGTGTAATAAACAAGGGCATTTTGCAGCGGTATGCAGAAGTAACTCAAGCGCAAAAATTCAATCTGTTGATGACAAAAGCACGGATTCCCCAGGAGATTTTTTTCTTGGGACAATTAACGATATAGAAAATGAGCGAAAATGGGCAATCGACTTATTATTAGGAAAGTCTACAGTGAAATTTAAGATTGATACGGGCGCTGATGTGACGGTGATTCCAGAACCGGTGTTTATGCAAACAGGCATAACTCAGGTGCAATCAACTAATAAAGAATTGTTCGGGCCGAATCAAGCAAAGCTGTCAGTAAAGGGAAAAATTCGAGCAACATTGAGAACTGCTACTTCAAAAACAACAGAGCAAGATATTTATATTGTGAAAAATTTGAAAGAGCCATTGTTGGGACGTCCAGCTATCAATGCCCTTGATCTAATAGTGACAGTCGAAGCGATTCAGTCAAATGATGCAAGTGATATGGAAGAAGAAATAAAGGTTACTTATCCAAACTTGTTTAAAGGTCTGGGTGAATTAGACGGAGAATGCAACATCAAATTAAAACCTGGTGCTATCCCATTTGCGTTAACCACACCTAGAAGAATACCTTTAACGATGACAAAGAAAGTTCGTGATGAATTGACGCGCATGGAAAAACTTGGCGTTATTTCAAAGGTTAATATTCCTACCGATTGGTGCGCTGGTATGGTTGTTGTTCCAAAAGCAGATGGTAAAATAAGGATCTGTGTTGATTTCACAAAGTTAAATGAGTGGGTCTTGCGAGAAATTTATCCACTTCCAAAGATCGAAAGTCTTTTGGCAGAAATAAGAGGATCAAAATATTTTTCGAAGCTAGATTGTAACTCTGGTTTCTGGCAAGAAAAACTAGAACAAAACTCTCGTTTGTTAACTACATTTATTACTCCGTTCGGAAGATTCTGTTTCAACAGAATGCCTTTCGGTATTAAATCTGCACCTGAGCATTTTCAGAAAAGGATGAAACAGCTGCTGGAGAAACAAGATGGTCAAGTAAGCATAATTGACGACGTACTTGTTAATGGAAAGACAAAAAATGAGCACGACAGTAGACTGAAAGCTGTGCTGAAAAAATTTGATAATGCTGGAATAACACTAAATCCTGAGAAGTGTGAGTTTGCTAAGAAGATGGTAAAGTTTGCAGGTAATATAGTGAGTGAAGATGGAATTCAAGTAGACCCAGAAAAGATTGAAGCAGTACAAGGTATGGAAGTGCCACAAAATGTGAGTGATGTGCGAAGATTTTTGGGAATGGTTAATCAATTGGGAAAATTCATTCCAAATTTGTCTGAAAAAACAAAACCTATTAGAGATCTATTGAGTACAAAGAATGAATTTCAGTGGGGAGGTGCTCAACAAAAAGCTTTTGAAGACATGAAAACTGAATTAAGTTCTGTACCAGTTTTAGCCTATTATGACCCAACGAAGCGAACTGTTTTGGCAGCCGACGCATCGTCGTACAGTATAGGAGCAGTTCTTTGGCAATTAAATAAGAAAGGAGAAAAGAAACCAGTCGCTTATGCGTCAAGATCAATGACAACTACCGAAGAACGATATGCTCAGATTGAAAAGGAAGCATTGGCAACAACTTGGGCTTGTGAGAAATTTAATGATTATATTTTAGGAATGGATTTTGTGATAGAAACTGATCATAAACCCTTGGTTCCTCTGCTTGGCTCGAAGATATTAGACCAACTTCCTCCAAGAATACAGAGATTCGAGATGAGGCTGCTGAAATATTCGTTTACTATTCGTCACACACCAGGAAAAGAGTTGGTTGTAGCGGATGCATTGTCTCGAGCTCCTATTATGAAACAACCTACAAAATCTGATAACAATTTATCCCAAGATTTGAACATTTGTGTTGCACAGATTGTTCAAAACATACCAGCTAGTGAGAGAAGGCTAGAAGGAATTCGCCGACACCAACAAGAAGATCCAGTTTGTACCAAACTTGTGGAATTTTGTTCGGAAGGTTGGCCGGATCGAAATCGAATTACTAGTACCTTGTTTCCTTATTACTTTGAAAGAGCAACAATTACAATGCAGAAAGGAATGTTAATGAAAGACTCCCGCTTGATAATTCCATCATCGCTACGTTTAGATATTCTAGAAAAGATTCATGCTGGCCATCAAGGCATCCGTAAGTGTCGTGAAAGAGCAAAAGAATCTGTTTGGTGGCCTGGACTAAGTAAGCACATTGAAAACATGGTTACTGATTGTTCCATTTGTTGTAAATACAGAGAAAATCATGCAGAGCCGTTACTAACAACGTGTTTTCCTCAACGACGGTGGCAGAAAGTTGCTACAGACTTGTTTGAACATAGCGGAAAAAATTATGTGCTTGTAGTAGATTATTATTCTAGATATTTTCAAATTGTTCCTTTGAAAAAAAGCACAACTGCAGAAGATGTTATTAATCATATGAAATCCATATTTTCTCGTCATGGTATACCAGAAACAGTTGTGTCGGATAATGGTCCACAGTATGCTGCAGCTATTTTTCCAAATTTGCTGAAGAATGGGATTTACACATTTAACAAGTGGTCCTCGCTATCCTCAAAGTAATGGAGAAGCAGAAAGAGCTGTAAAAACTGCAAAGAACTTAATCATAAAATCCGAAGATCCTTATTCAGGTTTACTTGCATACAGATCATCACCATTGCAGAACGGGTACTCACCAGCAGAATTATTAATGGGGAGGAAATTACGTTCTAATCTACCAGTCATATCCGAAAAGCTTACTCCAAAGCTTGCTGATACGGCAAAATTGAGAAGAGACGAAGAAAGTTACAAACGACGTCAAGCAGAAAACTTTAATTGTCGTCACAGAGCTTCAGTCCTTCCAGACTTGAGTCCTGATGAAAAGGTTTGGGTAAAAGATATAAAATCACCAGCTGTGGTTGTGGGAAAAACCGATAAACCAAGATCATATATAGTCAGGACAGAGCAGTCTATTTTAAGAAGAAATAGAAAACATCTTATCCCTGATCCTGAAAATCTGAGGGAAAACATTGAGTTGAACGAAAGAAAGCTGAGTTTCAGTGATAAGAAAGAAGTGAACGAATCTTCAAGTAGTTTGGACAATGAACAGGATTCGAAGGTAATTCGAACCCGTTCAGGTAGAATTATTAAACCCCCAAATAGATTGAACTTAGAAAACTTTTGAAAGATACTTTTGTATAGTTATAGGTATAAATATTTATTATAAATTAGTTATTCTTTATATTAAAAAGGGAAGATGTGTAGACGTCACTTCCTGTTGAATATTACTTCTGCTTATAATGTATATATGGGATTTACTATTTGTACAGCAGTTCATGTCGTGACGTCACTTGTGCCGATTGCGTAATAACACGAAAACTACTTTTGAGCGATGAAATTAAATCAATTTCAAGTTTATTTTGCGCGATCATTTGCATAATGGCGGGTAATTTAAATAATGCAAACAATCGAGATATTCGACAGGTTATAAGCCGATATTTAAAAGAGGTCGTAGAGAATGGTGAATATTTCACAGGCTGGATTGATGGAGAGACTAACTTGAACGAGTTTTACAAAATACGAAGTTGCTGGATCGACATCTTTCAAGCTTCGTTCGTCTGCGCTACGAGGTTCGGCAAAGCGATATGGAAATGAAGGTACATAAATTAAACTGATACGACGTATTGCACTTGTAGTATTTTACACGTGAAAATTGTATTGTTTCGACGAAAGTTCCACTTCTCACTCACTATAAATTTTGTTCATAACTCACGTTACTCATCAGTTGTTGTAAATATATAATTATAAATAAAATTATCAACATTTTTTTGTAATAATTGTTGTTATTAAAGGTAGTTTGAGATGGAGCAGCAATTTTGGTGATCTATCCATACCATTTTTTGGCACTCCGTTTTGTATCAATGGAATACGGTTACTAGAGTGTATTTATGGACCGTGCAGGCCGACAAATAGAGATTCTGAGGAGGTACGTAGTCTTGAAACCTGAAATATTAAACTCTATAAACTCGAACCACACCTATAACGTAATTATAATAGATAATATACTTTTGAACAAATCATTTTTAACATTAACTGCAGTACACTTCAACCTATACTATAGGGAATCAACGGCCATCCAACTGGCCAAAAAAGACGATTTCGAGTGCAGCCAACTAAAAAGCTTGGGTGTAAGGCCCAGATCACTGTTAGGGAGTTAACCGTGTATCCAGACTACATCGTTCCAACATCCTGTAACAACAAACACCAGGTGAGACTGTGGGAGTTAAACAAAGAAAAATCAAATTTACTCAACAAATTTTTAACAATGTATATGACATTAAATGAGATATGATCTTAGCTGGACAATTTAAGCAATCGTCTCAGGACCTGAAAAATCAGGTGACTCAGGGATTCGAACCCATGACCTCTGCGGTTCGAATCGTTGATCTGTTCAGGATGCTAATTGTCAAATCATCATATCTCATTATTTCAAACACCGCACTGCATAAAACATACAAATGTATATGACGTTGCTTAAAGGAACTAATCATCTTAAAACCAGCCTCAACACTAATTGCGTTGTGTCCAAATTATTGTAGATGGAACGAGTCATTAAACCATCGCTCTTGAACAAGTTAAAAATCGATAAAGAACACAATGAAGCGCAAATTAAAAAAATAAAGAGGTTTTTTGTCAAAGTTCCAAACCAGCAAGCACACACAAACCACCCACACGGAGAAGTGTGCGGCATTTCCAATGGGGTCCATCCGCTTATAATAGAGAAAATCCACGAGCTTGTTGCAGCAGGTGAGGCATACTGATTTTAAACATTCATCAAACTCTAACGGCAATACGGCGTACTGAAAAAGAAAAGGTGGCCTTACATTATCATCCAGAACTATTGGGCTGTTTTTTATTAAATAGGTGTAACACAGTGGCAGGAAGTTAAAAAGTTACTTACCTACCATGTGGAAAACATATTGTTCCAAGATGATAAAAGTCCAAGGCCCTCAACACTTAACCGGTCATTTTATCCAACCAGCACAGACATCATCAATCATATCTACTCAGCTACCAACAAACAAAAACTTAGCAAACTGGATCAGGTGAATTTGCAAAAAATGATTGACGAATGGAAAATGTCTACATGCCACATCTGATAACTGGAGAAACATGTACAGAAATCTCCTGATTCCAGCTGAACTTCAATGTTTAAATCCAGGCTGTCTTGTTAGCGACCTCATTATTGAAGCTTTTCTTCAGTAAGAAAGTTACAAGAAGTGTAGTACAGTATTTGTTTTAATTGCTTATGGGCATCAGTAACTCATTACTAAGTTGCAATTCACTCCACTTTGTTATTTTAATTTTATAATTACAGAAAATTTTACTTGCCTTGTACAGTACTTGTAAAAGAGAGGATTAATGGGTTAATTGATTATTTTTCCCAATGAAAACAATCCAGTAGATTAATAATTAATATAATTATTATTCTTGCTATATAGATACCTCAAATTTGAATATGCTGATGAGAATGTGAAACAATCCACCATTGCATTGTCAAGCTATTTCTGTACCAAGCTCAGGTCATAAAACCATCCATAAAACCATCACAACAGCAAATGGAGCTGAAAAAAAGGTTCCCAGAAATGACAGGTGTGTCAATTTGTATCTGTTGTATTTGTATCTGTAACTTAAATATATAATAATGCAACTGCAATCAAAATACAACAATTATACAATTATAAAATATTTTTCAGGTCACTCTGGTCATTACTAATCTGGCATTCACCATAATTCATTTTGTCTCCTTTTACATACTGTACATGTATGCTTTGTCTTATTCCTATCAGGGAACTTTGGGAGTGTGCAAAATCATTCACTAGGAAAGTCGCCATCTGGAATAAGAACATAGTTCTAATACCTGTCAACAAAGGGTAATGTTGTAAACAATTATTGTTCATCAATATAGAATGAAATTGTATTTTGTGTATATTACATGCATGCAAAATATGTGATGGGTTTTAACTTTTTAAGGCTGCACTGGATTCTTATAGTGCTATTTAACAAAACAAATGAAACTGTTAAGGAACAACCTGTAGCATCAAGGTATTGAGTGTTTTAACATATCCACACAATACCAAAACCTTCCTTATTTTTTAATATCATGCACCTCATACCCTGAACAGAATTCATTACGAAATTTAAATATACGTAAATGTAAATAAGTATGCCCATTATTTAAGGAGCCTTTGCATTGAACCCCAGCAGTGTTGTGTAAAACCTCCTTAGGTTAGTATATAGAAGATATAATAAATATTTAATAAAACTTTTACAACAATTTACACAACACTCAGAATCTCGGTGCTCTCACTAGTCTATCCTATCAAGTGTCTTCCGCATCTTATGCTGTGATGAAGAAAGTTTTAAGACCACAACGTTTTGACACCAATCCTAACGCTCAAGACGCTGCTAGATCGTGGTTGCACTGGTTTGCTACTTTCCAAAATTTTGTAGCTGCTTTACCTAACGAAGAAGTGAACAAATTAAAGGTTCTAGTCAATTATGTTTCTGCCGACGTTTATCAACTTTTCTGTGAAGCGACAACCTACGAGGAAGCTATAGAATTGTTAAAAAATCTCTATGTTAAGGTTCCTAATGAGATATTTTCGCGACATAAGTTAGCTACTCGTAAACAACAATCTGGCGAGAGCCTGGATGAGTATTTACAAGAATTAAAATCGCTAAGCAAAGATTGTAATTTTCGTAGCGTGACATCAAATCAATATCGAGACGAAGCTGTACGAGACGCGTTTATAGCAGGTCTTCTTTCAACTAACATCCGCCAACGTCTTCTCGAGAATAAAACATTAGACCTTCAGACAGCTTTTGATCAAGCCCGAGCCTTAGATACAGCACAGAGAACTTTTGAAACTTATGCAGACGGAATTCCAATAACAGCTGCTGCTCTATCAAACAAGGACGGGGAGAATTCGTTTTTTAGTCAACGGGCATTCGAAAACCAATAAAACTGATCAATCTGACGGACATCAAGAGAACAACGGCATAGAAAGGTACGTTGCCGCCTCTTCTAGATCAGCGAAATGTTTCTTCTGCGGTAATCGACCACACCATCGTTCCGCATGCCCGGCTAAAGACGCCTATTGTTATAAATGTAAAAAGAAAGGACATTTCCAAAGAGTATGTAAATCGGTCGCTCCTCAGGCTTCGTATATAGCATTAGCATCAACTAAACATACAGTAGCAAAGTCACTAAAGAAAGCCTGTATTGATGTCTTGATTAATGGAAAATCTTGCGAAGCTCTAATTGATTCGGGAAGTACACATAATTTTATACATCCTAAAGTTGCAAGTAATCTGGGATTGAACGTTAACACAACCCAAGAGAAAGTAACAATGGCTGCATCCTCGTTTTCTTCTAAAATTCAAGGCTATTGTCTAGCAGATATTATACTTAAAGAGCGAGAGTATGCGAAAGTAAAACTGTTTGTCTTAACAAACTTATGTACGAACGTGATATTAGGACAAAATTGGCAGGAAAAACATGAAAGCATAATTATTGAGTATGGGGGAAAATCGCCCTCTTTAACGATATGTGGTTTATCAACTATAAATATAGGGCCACCGCCGTTGTTTCAATTTTTGTCTGAAGATTGTAGACCGGTAGCTGCAAAATCACGAAGATACAGTGCCGAAGACAGAGCGTTCATCGCAACAGAAGTGTCGAAATTGCTTGAAGAAGGGATTATTGAAGAAAGTGACTCTCCTTGGAGAGCCCAAGTCGTTGTAACCAAGAACGAAAGACAAAAGAAAAGACTAGTAATCGATTACTCTGAAACAATTAATAAATTTACTCAGTTGGACGCTTATCCGATGCCAAGAATAGAGGATACAGTAAACGCAGTTGCCCAATATAGTGTCTTTAGCACTGTAGATCTTAAAAGTGCATACCATCAAGTACCTATCAAAAATAAAGAGAGAAAGTACACGGCTTTTGAAGCTAACCATCGACTTTATCAGTTCCGTAAAATCCCATTTGGTGTAACTAAAGGAGTGGCGGCCTTTCAACGATCAATGGATACTTTCATATCCGAAGAAGCTTTAGAAGATACTTTCGCGTATTTAGAGAATATTACTATATGCGGTTACAATCAGGAGCATCATGATAAAAATTTGGAACTTTTTATGAAAGCAGCGAGGAAACGTAACCTAACATTTAATGAAAGCAAGTGCGTTTTTTCGGTAACGTCGATTAGTATACTCGGAAGTGTTGTATCTCAAGGAGAGATTAAGCCAGATCCGGAGAGACTAAAACCTTTGCGGGAGCTGCCAGCCCCACGTGATGCAAAAGCTCAAAGGCGTGTCATCGGTTTGTTTTCATATTACTCCCAATGGATTAAAGATTTTTCAACTAAAATCAGACCTTTGTCTCACAATTTAGCTTTTCCATTATCAAATGATGCGTTGCAAGCGTTTGATTTACTGAAAAATGATATTGAGAATGCTGTAGTAGGATCAATTGATGAATCTTATCCTTTCCAAATAGAGACCGATGCATCAGAATTTGCACTTTCAGCGACATTAAATCAACAAGGACGACCAGTAGCATTCTTCTCAAGAGCACTAAATGGTCCAGAACTAAAACACTCGTCAGTAGAAAAGGAAGCAGCTGCTATCGTGGAGGCCGTTCGTAGGTGGAAACATTATCTAACAGGTAAACATTTCAAACTAGTAACGGATCAGAGGTCAGTAGCTTATATGTTCAATTTGAAACGTCATGGTACGATTATGAACGATAAAATAATGCGGTGGAGATTGGAACTTTCTATGTATGATTTTGACATAGTATATAGAACAGGAGAAGAAAATATACCAGCGGATACCTTATCGAGAGTGAAGGTTATGTCGCTTACACTGGATAAACTTTTCGAACTTCATAAAGCACTGTGTCATCCTGGAGTATCTCGCATGAGTCACTTTGTAAAAAGCCGAAATTTACCATTTTCGATAGAAGAAATTAAGCGCATGACCGAATCATGTAGAGACTGCCGAGAATGTAAACCCCAATACTATCGACCTGCACAGTCACATCTGATAAAAGCAACACAGCCGTTTGAAAGACTGAACCTAGATTTTAAAGGTCCGCTGCCCGGACAAGAAACGATATATATTGACTATCATAGATGAGTATTCTAGATTCCCATTTGCGTTCCCTTGTGAAGATGTTAGCGCTCGGACTATTGTTGCTTGTCTATCAGAATTATTCTCGGTTTTTGGTATGCCTACGTACATTCATTCTGATCGAGGGTCAGGATTTATGAGTGCTGAACTAAAGAGTTTTCTCTTACAGAAGGGTATTTCAAGTAGTAGAACAACAAGTTATAATCCTGCAGGAAATGGCCAAGTAGAAAAATTCAATAGAACGTTGTGGAAAACAGTTTGCCTCGCTTTACGATCGAAAAATCTACCCATTAACCACTGGCAAGAGGTGATGCTGGATGCACTCCATTCGATTAGTCCTTGTTATGTACGGCTACAAACGCTACTCCTCATGAACGATTATTTTCTTTTCAACGTAAGTCAACGAGCGGGGTGTCTGTCCCTTCATGGTTAGCTACACCAGGAAATTTATTTTTTTTTTTTTAAAAATCCATTAGTCAAAAATTCACCTCACACCATCCGAAATGCCACCACTTTCCTCGCCAGTATTGAAAACATTAAACTACGACCAGACGAAATCATGATATCCTACGACGTGACATCACTCTTCACATCCATACCACTAGACATTGCCAAACAAATTACAAACGAACTACTCACAAACGACAAAACTTGGCAAGCTACAACACACCTAGACAAAAATGACATCCTAGACTTACTCAACCTTTGCCTCTCCACTGAATTCACCTTCCAAAACACATACTACAGACAAATTTCAGGCACACCAATGGGATCACCACTATCCACCTTCCTCGCAGAAGCTGTCATGCAACACCTCGAAACACAATCAGTCACAAACAACACAAACATCAGACTATGGAAAAGATATGTCGACGACATCTTTGCCATAGTCAAGAAAGACAAAACTGAACAAATCCTACACACCATAAACAATACCACAAAGAACATTACCTTTACTAAAGACGAAGAACACGACAAACAACTTACCTTCCTCGACATCCTACTAACCACAACAGATGACGGTACACTAAACACACAAGTATACCGCAAAACCACCCACACAGACCAAATACTCGATTTCAACAGCAATCATCCAACACAACACAAAATAAGCTGCATTCGAACACTTTTCAACAGGATAAACACTCATTGTAATACGGAAGAAGCCAAAAACAGAACGCAACTACTTATACTCCACATGTATTAAAACAACTACCCTAGAAACTTCATAAACAAAACTATATACAAAATACAAAACAAAACACAAACCGACAAAAGCAACAAAAAACCGGACGAAACAGTAAAAATCGTCACATTACCATACATAAACGGAACATCAGAAATGACTGCCAGACTTCTTCGACCATTTAATATTAACGTCGCCCACAAGCCTACACAAAAACTCAAATCATGCTTCACCA